CCCCAAAACCCCAAAACCCCAAAACCCCAAAACCCCAAAACCCCAATATTTTCATCCAATATTGGTCAAATATAATATTAAAATATGGAAGAAAGCATCAGCTCTCTTACGAATAACAATATTAGGGTTCATGTAGCAAAGCAAATTTATAAATCTCATAAAAATGTGTCAAAGGCAATTGGAAAAGAATCTAAAGCAACGTAATCTTGTTAAATTAACTCATTAGAGGTTCAGAATCTTCTGAATGGCATTATGGAAGTCTAGATTCAAGCCATAAAGATGAGGTTAAGGTAAAATAAAATTTGATAATTTTTAGTCCCTACCTGGGAAAATAGAAATAGATTCAAATTATAAGGTAAATCATTCATTAACCATCATACAGAGAAATCTCTCTGAAGGAATTGGATCATCATTAGGATTTAACAAGAGAGCAGAATTTATAGCCAGACAAATAACTGGGAAGAGTAAATATGATTTAGACATTCTTGCAAAAGAGACTGACAGTATCTTCTAGCATAACCTTAAGATAAATTGTCAGAGATAAGATCCTCTCAATTTTCAAGTGTAAATGAATATTTTATTCAAAGTCCTGAAGGGAAACAAGACGACTTGAGCCAAGATCACCAAACAAGCATGCCAAATAAATACATATAAGCCATTATGAGGATAATATCCATCTTCGGTACAAAATAATGAAGTTGCAAGACCAAGTTTTGTGTCTTGAGCAAAGCTTAGGAACAACCCATAGAGCCAATCATCAGAGGTAAATGTTCACTTTCACCAGTAGGATGAAAAATTATGCAACTAAGATGGAACTGACCATGGAAGAAGCATATAAGAAGAAACTAGATGACATCGTCAAGTTTTATGACAATGAAATGATGGATATACTCAATCAATATACCAAAGGGAGGGAGGAAGCTGTATGCGAACTCTTTAGTCAATCTTTCTAATGACTTAGTCTTATCTGCATAAACTTAGGCTAATTTTATTTAGACCCAAGCGCACAAAATTGTTTCGAAATTACTCAGCATTAATCATAGGTAACCTACAAAGTGGGGTTAAGTTACATTAAAAAATAGCCAGGAAATGTTTATCTTGGAAATCAGGAATAAGTTACTAGAAGGAGATAGCAATGCAGCTATTGATACATGTAGTTTTAGTTTAAGAAAATATAGTGAAAAAGCAACATATTGAAAGTCTTAGCAATGTTTTAAGTAATAAAATGCTAAAGGAGATGGGAATTGACAAATAACAATATAAAGCAAGTTTCGACGGCAGACAAAATTGCCTTATCCCAAGGGATTAGTTTTTCTAATCAAGAAAATGATTATTCTAATCCCAAATTTCTAGTAAAATATATACTTGATATTATAGTCTAAAACATCAGTGTTATCATTTGACCAGTCAACCGGTCTCACTGAATTAGTTAAAGAAATCAATAATATAAAATAAAGATGAACTACACCATCGAGCAGAGAATAAAAAGAAATATTTGAAAAAGACTCAGGGCAGATCAATTAATGAATATTATCATAATTCTCTAATCTCCAATAATCTGAAGAAAACAGAATCAGAGTCTTCAAAGTCAAAACACAAAAAGTACAATTCTTAATAAACTATAGTGGTAAAAATTACCCAAAAGAGTTTTTAAATGTGCGACTAAAGAATTCATACAATTTAGTTCTCTCTGATAATTCAACCATCATTTAGATCATCCTCAAGCAATTGTTCTTAAGAGGAACCTTACACAACCGGAGTAAGTAATCTTTAATTTCCTAGGGAGTATTGAGATTCATTTTCCCCTGTAAAAGATGTCAAAATCAAGCAACTAAAATTTGAGCTCTCCACTCTTCAAACAATGTTCAACCAACTGCTTGATGAAAATAAGATGTTGAATAAAGAAGTTGTTAATCTCAAAGGTATAATTTAATAGGCTTAGTTAATAGGTAGTAAATCATAAAAAAAGATAATGTATTTGAAAGACTGCATTTTAAACACCGTACTTATAGTATCAGGGTTTATGGAACTATATCTAAGCCTTTATGTTGGTGTCTTAACTCCAGATTTAAATATTGCAATTACCTTCACTAATACTACTGGTTATATCAGTATTATCTCTAACTTCTCATATAGATAAAGTCATTCTTACCTAAGAGACATATGAAAAAAGAATTTGAACAAGAAAAGAACGACTTGGTTTGAAAGGTAATTCACCTTTATTTAAATTATGAATGAGGATGTCACCTAAATAATATTTGCTAACAAAAATCTTAGAGAATTGCTCTTGGAGAGGACATTTCAACTATACTTTAGCAATGGTTTAGCTAACAAATCTAAAATTCCTTAAGCAAATAATTTAGCTTTCTAAAATTCTGTATTTTAGCTACAAAAAATAGGAACTGAAGGGAATTTCTATAACCTTTACTCTATTTTTATGAAATTGTAAAATTTAAATTCTTTGATTTAGTTTTTACTCATCCTTTTGTTAGGTAAAAGATTTGGAACACAAATTTGAAAAAGTACAAAAAGAGAATCTTAGAAAAATTCAATGACTAAAATGAGAATTAAGGTAAAATTGAGCATTTATTTTAGAGTTCAAGACAAGCTCATAGACAGATTCAAGGGGTATGCCAACGTACTGAAAAGAGAGTTGGCTATTGCTAAGAATATCATTAAGAACCCTAGAAATAAACAATTGAGATAAATCTCCAATTCGATTTGTATCCCATTAAAGAGAAAGATCGTAATATATTCAACATAGTGTAATTTTAAGAAACCATTAACTTAGGAACAAGAATGACTCCAGAAGTCTAACAAGAGATATGAATAAGACATTCGATCTTGATAATAAAAAATTGATCAAAATCGATAGAGAAATCAAAAAGATCCATCCTAAGGTTGTTTCAAGACAGGATGTGTCTGACATAAAGCATTTTAGTTCCTTACAAAGAAGCAATGTCAGTCCTTACTCTTTGGATAGGATGAAAGGTAATTTAAAGTCATTAAAGCGTAGATCTGCATCAGTCATCAACCTCTCCTAGAGGGTCCAAGGGATTCAGATTTGTATTTTCCCCTTCAAGAGTAAAGAGAGGTAGAAATGTAGGGCATAGAGCAAAAATATTTTCTAAATAGAGCATAAAAATTTCAATATTTCACGAGGATAACGGGGTTTTGGGGTTTTGGGGTTTTGGGG